AATCAAAAGAAACACCATCAAATGCAAGTTCAGTCACCACAGAAGGCAATACTATATTACCAACATAGTTAAATGCAGGAACTATTGCTCTGATTCACTTACAGTGAGCCCTTCTTTGTACTTCGACTCGAACACTGACATCGCAGCAAGGGATCCAGAACCCATCGTGGCAAAAGGAAGAGTATCAGTGGAGCCGTGTGGATAAACCTGCACATTCAAAGTTAATGTAAGTACCCTAAATTATATTTACACCAAGTAACAAACAGGTATACTCAGTTACTAACAGTGTGAAGATGTGGTCCAGTACAATCCACTCCACCAAGAACAAGGGCAGCACTGACATGGCCCTGATACCTAAACATAATGGCATAAGAAGGTCAGACGTTGACACAATCGCAGAGTTCTAAATGTGCCTGTGAGAGGAACTCACCTAAAGAGGTGTGACTTCAGCAGTGTAAGAGCAGTTACGACTCTAGATTCGCGACCCGTTGCATAACGGTGCAGCTGTAGCTGCGAGCTGACCATGTCTGAAGTAAAGGAAGGAAATGTCAGTAAGGAATTCAACGGAAGAAACAGGAGATTGAAACGGCAGTAAGATTTCATTGTTGTGGTCATCTACCTGTAACAGCCTCTGTGTCAGCAGCAGTTCCTGCTCCACAGCAATAAATGTTTGGGGCCATAAAGTGGATCTTCTCACAATTCTTATCAGCAACTATAGGCCCCTCAGTTGCCCTTGTGTCTGCCCCAAGAACAACCCCATCCTACATATAAAAGCATGATTTAGTCAAATGGTAACCTCAATGGATATGGGCATATTAAACAATCCCTGTTCAAACACAATGCAAGGTCTTTCATCTATTAGCATTGGCTAAGAGCACCAGTGTATATATACAAAAAAAAAAATTATGAAGTTATGACAAAATTACAATCATCCATTAGATTTATTCAATCACAAGCTGATGCAAATCAGGATCAATTAAGATTTGTCAGAGAATCATTTGCAGTGTATATTTTTTTCATTAGGATGAAGAAATATTTATGTATATGTGCGGCAGGAAGTTAAGCATGCGATTGATATCAGAAAGATTTTTCAATGTTTAGTTGAGATGCTCGGCACCCTAAAGAGACTTCCAAACCTAACTAACATTAAGAAACATCAGCACTAGGCTGATGCCTACAAAATTCGCAGACATGGTAAATTGCTAAATACCAAAAGGTATTTCATCTATTAGGACTGGCTAAGAGCAACGGTACGCATAGTAAAAGCAGTTAAATAATTGTTAAGGCAAAATTACTATCATCCATTGGATTTATGCAATCACAAGTTGATGCAAAACAGGATTCAATGAAGTAGGATTTGCCAGAGAATCAAATGTAGAGTATTTCACCAGGATGGAAAAGGTTGTATGTATAACCTTCCCCCTAAGCTAATACAATGGAATCCAACATAATGAAAGAAAGGGGGCTTTCACCCCTGAGGGTGGTTTGCACAGAACATTTCACTGATTTGCATCATCAGCACGTAGCACCAATGCGGGCACGTGGAACAGATTGGTATGCAAGTGATTGATATCAGACAGAATTTTTTTTTCTAGGCTCAATTGATCTGCTCGGCACCCTAAAAAGCGATTCCCAAACCAAACTAACATGAACAAACGGCAGCAACAAAAGGTTCATGCCTACTAAATTCTCAGAAACGGGTACCGCTGAACCAGCAGAAGATACAGTAATTGCCGGAATACTAAAAGGCAGGTAACACAACAAGTGTAGGCGGCCGCACCTGAAAGACGAGGCCGACGATGGTTGTTCCGGTCTTCCTGAATCCCGGGAGCTTGAGCCCGTTCTTCTCCAGCATGTTGTTGCGGCGGCACAGGTCGAAGCTGAACCCGCCCTTGGCCGGGAGATCCATGGAGCCCGTCATCCTTCCTTCCTGCACCACAAAGGCACCGCCACGGGTCAAGGCCACGGCGAATCGCCACGGGAAGGAGCGGAGCGGAGCGGGTGAGATCCAAACAAAAATCGCTTGGATTAGGGTTCTGGGGGTACCTGGTGATGCTCGTCGCAGCTAGGTGAGGGGGGCGCGCGGCGTGCCTGACCTGAGGTCGGATACGAGGCTGGGGAGAGCGGCGGGAGGCGAGGAGATGTCGATGTAGTCCGATGCCGGCGCGAATCGCCCAGGCGGCGCGGGTGAATACTCGTTGTCGGACTCGGCTCAGCCAACTCGGAGGAAGAAGAGGAAGCACAATAGCAGGAAAAAAAAAAGGCTGAAAAACAAATGATTTCCACAAGAACTAATGAAAAACAATTTTTACAAGAAAAAACACATATAAACAACTAAAACGAATATATTAGTAAGGGCACTCCCAATACAGAAACCATCATAGTTTCTATGAACATTAATCAGTAATGCAACCTAAGCGTTTTTACTGATGTGGTAAGGTAGTTATTGAAAGAGAAAAAAACCATAGAAACCAGGTCTAAGTTAGAAACCATGTCTACACGAGAACTAAAACATGAAAGGATGTGATCGGAAGAGAATGGAAAGATAATGTATGTGATTGGATAAAAAATTATTCTGTAGAAATTACCCATTGGAACCATGGTTTGTACATATAGTGTCAATGGAAATTAATAGATATAGAAACTAAGGGCAGTTTCTAGCATTGGGACTAACCTAAGTAATTAAAATACTACCTCCATCTCTAAAAGAATGCAATTCTAGAACAGTACCAAGTTTGACCAATTATAGATGAAAAATTATAAATATCTATAATATCAAATTAACACCATTAGATTAATTATGAAATGTATTTTCTAATAAATTGATTTGAAACCATAAATGTGAATATTATTTACTAGAAACTTGATCAAACGTAAAGCATTTTAACCAGCACATATATCATAATTGCATTCTTTTTAGGATAGATGTAGTAGATAGTGGCATGAACAAGCATAAGAGCTCATTGCTAGCATGTTTGGTTGGCGTATATACCAAAACAGCTTTAGATATGCAACTTCAGCTGTTTGGTTGTTTGCACAGGGTCTGGACCTGGCTCCCCGGATGCAATTAACATATGATTAATGTATATTAAGTGATATCAGTGTATTTTAAAATAGGTTAAGATATTAGAGGTAAAGTTGAGACTATTAGAGCATAGTTACACAAGTTAAATATTATAAAATTACTTGTTTATATGTTTTTATTATATATGGAACAATTTTATATGGGCAATCAAATAGTATCTCTTGTCAACTAGGCAAAAACTACCTTACATATGATTAAGCAAGGGTCTTAATTGATATCAATGCAGTATTTTAAAAGACAACCAAACATATTCGAGGGCCACATCCAGTTGAGATTATTAGTGTTGTAGTTACACAAGTTAAATATTATAATGCTTTACGCCATCTTGTATGTTTGTTAAAGTATATATGGCCAATGTTTATATGGGCAATCAAATAGTATCTCTTGTCAACTAGGCAAAGAATACCTTACACCACCATAGCCTGTCCAGAGAGGGTCTGGTTTCCATATACAATGCAGGCTTAAAGAAGACAACCAACACAGTCCTCGCTGGGAACCACATCCAGACATGTGCATCCGACCACAGGCATGGCATGGATTGCCTGGCGGGCACCATAAGGTGTGGTCTCGATTAAGGGTGATTTTTAGAGACAAATTATTAAACACACCCAGACATGCATTGCTCGCCATCTTGCCCCATGTCTTGTTAAAGTGGTCAGGGCCAATCTGTCATGTGTGTGGTCTCTGTCAATGCTACCCGTTGTGTGGTTCATTAGTACAAGAAAAACTTAACCAAGACGTTTGGTTTTGGGGCTCAGGGGCGGGCGTGCTGGTTGCCCGCCTCCATTATTGGGTGGTCGGGCAGCCGGCCCAGTGTCCGCCTCAATTAATTCACCATTAACCGAGGTGGTTACCTTACGACAACCGTCTCTGTTAATGGATTAATCGAGACGGCCACCATAAACCAACGGCCTTAGTTAATCGATTATTTTTGGAGATAAATTATTTCTCATTACAGTAGAATTGCATCAACACTGAATTCACGTTACCAGTAGATTTCTCACCTCTTTCTCTCACAATGTTAAAATTACCTCCAACTATCATAGGTTTATCTAGGTTCAGAATCAAATCCATCAGCTCTAAGAAAAACACTTGTTTGAGGTCATCTTGGACTGGGCATACACATTGGTCGATTAGTACCCAACAGAAGTCTGATTCCTATTTTTGAGAGTGCTTGCTCGCTAGAAATGTCCTGATTTCTATTGCATCACCTCCACAACCTCATTCCTTGTTCCAGCACCGGGGCACGGTACCCTATATACAGTGACAACAGAAGTCCGATTCTCTGTCTTTGAGAGTGTATAGGATGAGACCTACTATATTTCAGGTGTCAAAATTTTGCATCTAATCAGACAATAATTCTTTATTCATTGAATCTAAATCAGATGTATTTGGAACTTCTTCGTCCTTGATTTCTTTCATTCAATTGTCAGGTGCTTTTGGTTCTGCGTTTTCAGGCATCTGCACTCTAGAAAGCGTGGTATATAAGATACATCCAAACACGTTGAGAATTCCCACCACATAGATGCTCTGTTCGGCTCGCTGAAATTCAACTGCCGATGCTGATTTATTCCTTCAGAAACTCAAAGTTGTGTTGATAAGTTAGCGAACAGGTCATTAGAATCGGAAGAGGTACTTTTCGGCATGGTAAATAAACTGAAAACAGATTTTACTAGGGTACAATTATTCTACAGCACTGCAACAGCGCGCTGCAGGCAATGGTACACACACATAGCAAGCAAGCATGCATGCATTATTGTACTGGTGAACTAGCGCTTTCTTCCTGCTGAGAAGAACAACCCAACAACTCGCGACTCGTGGCAGATACACACAAAACACGTGGGTCTAGTCCTGTAATCCACTGCCGTTGCAGTACTGCCCCCACATGCATGCATGACCGATAGATGGACAAGGATCACAGCATGAGCGCCCACTTCTGGGTGGGAGTGGGACTCCCAGTGGCGGGCTTCGACACGACGACCTGGCCGCTAGCAGTAGTACCCTTCGACTTCGATGGCCTGACGACGTCCAAGACCATCCCGGCGCCGGTGTTGAAGATGGTGCCGTCGTTGTGGAACACCCAGCGCTGGCAAGCCGATCCAGCCCAGTCGCAGTATTTCACCCTCACACGCCCGCTGGCATCAGCGGCCAGGCACTGCCACTGAAGGAGCAGCCACGCGGGCGGGCGGATGGAGCCGTCGGGGTAGAGCGACCACTGCACGCCGTCGCGGCCGCAGGCGGCGACGGACACCGCCCCCGCATAGTCCACCTGCAGGCAGAGGTCGCGGAACCCGACGATGGCGGCGTCCAGGGGCGCGGTGTCGTTGGTCGGCGTCCACGACTGCCCCGTCCCGCGGTCGTCCCGTCGCACCGTGAGCCCCGCGAAGAGCCTCGACGAGGTGACGGCCAGCACCAGGCCGCCGCCGCGGGAGGACCCCTTGAGCGCGACGGTGCCGTCCGCGCGCACCTCCCAGACGACGCGGCCCGTCGGGACGCGCGGGCAGTCGTCGATCACCACGCGGGCGCCCGCCGCGTCGCCGCTGCTGGCCAGGCACTTGCCGTTGGACCGGATGGTGCCGTCCCGCTTCAGCGTCCACAGTTGGTTCACGTCGCCGTTGGACTTGCAGCTCCACAGCTGCACCTGCTTGCCGTTGTAGTAGTAGCCGTACGGCACGTCCACGCACCTCCCTTCCAGGCCGACGAGGCGCACCGTCGGCTCGGCCTGGCCGCACGCCGCCGCGCCGCCCAGCTGCATGTCCTCCTCATCCGGCTCTTGCACGACGGACCTTATGAGCAAGGGAAGCCGCTGGCCCACCGCCTCCCGCGTCGTCTTCTTGCAGCTTTTGTGGTGCTCCAGGAAGGACACGAGGGGGACGGCTCGACGCACGTTGTCCACCTGCGTCCACTTGTCGTTGCTCCGCTGAACATGCACCGGAGCGGCGAAGGCGCCCTGGTAGGACTCCTGGACGGCGGCGGAGAGCTCCGGCCAGCTCTCCTGAAGCCCGCGAAGGCTCCCGTCGTTGGACACGCCGTTGCCGTCCCACATGCCGGCGCTCATCCGCCGCTCGACGTACGGGAACGTCGCCGCGCTCGCGATCATCACGTCGCAGGCGGCGAGGCCCCGGCTCAGGTCCTCTTTCGTCGCGTTGCCTGTCGGGAACAGGAACAGCGACGAGATAGCCTGGTCGAGATCTTCAACTCGCCATGCCGCGACTGCAGGGTCGTCGTCGACAGTGACGGTCGGAGGACCTCCCCATGGATACAAGTTCCGGTAACAGGTTACCGATGACAATGTGCGGCCTGAACCTGATCTCTTGAGGAGGCACGAGTAGTTCCCTGCTTCGTAACCCACGAAGTAGGCTCCGGAGACGTCCATCTTCAAGCTCACGGAACGCCCTGCCTTGTTCACCAGAGTGATGTTTAGGGACGCTTCCAGCGCGAGCGGATCGTCTTGGCTTACCAGCACAGGGATCCCGCTGCTGTTGTTGTTGCGCTCGGTTGTGCTCACCAGGCCAGCACGAACAGAAGCGATGAAGGTCTTGTACTTGTCGGGGTTCGCCGACGCGGTGCTGAAATTCACTTTTATTATGTACTCTGCTTTCACTTTCAGAGCTGCTGCTGCTGCATCGACGACGTTTTCAGATGCTAGTGCCGGTAGCAGAGCAGCTGCCGAAGAAGCGACACAGAGCCATGGTACTACTACCAGGCTCACCATCAGGATGATTGGTTGCGTCCCTCCTTTCATCTATATCAAATATATATATGATCAATAGCTTAGTGCCTTAGTACATGAATATGTCTCAAGTATTTATGATGTTAATAAACATAACAATAGCAAAATAAATCAACAGTTCCTCTGTCTCAAAATATAAGCTTTTTTATTGTGGAAATGATTTCGTAATGTATATTGTTGTGCTCAATTGATATCATAAATATTATTAATGTTTTTTTCAATAAACTTGGTCAACTAAAAAAATGTTTCATATAGGACAAACTAGAAATCTTTATATTTTGAGATGAATGGGGCAATAATCACTAGATCACCATGAATACATTTTCGTTGCATATTATAATTTTCTAAGTAGTTAGTCAATGTGAGGTATACACGTTTTGGTTGTATTGCAGGTGCTAAATGTTGGTACATTTTGTATATCTCTCAATTTATCAATTTATTGTCATTTGTGCTATATATCTGTTGGAACCTCTACAACGATGGCACGAAATGCTTTTCCATTTAGAATCCTAAAATCCAGAGGAAAAGCCCATATTTTGAAGAACTAAATATCTCTTGAAAAACAGGTTGTTTATATATAAAGTAGATGTTTCCTTTCAAATTGTAAGAAGACCATTAAAGCTCACTCACAACAGATTCCCCTTTACCATAGAAGTTTTTTTTGGTTGTCCTAGCTAGCCAAATACCGTAACTTTAGACAGAGTATGGGCGCGTGAAGATTTTTGTCTCAAAAGTAATTTCACAATATTATAATACTTCCTCCAAACATTAAATATAACTGGTTTTAGCCTGGACACATGCATGGATGAAGCAACAAGTTGATAAATTGAGCATGCATGCTAAAACTAGCTATAGCTCACCAAAAAGCGATGCAAACAAGAAGGGTAAAACATGAAGAGTGGTCATAACAAAAATACCTTGAGAAAGTGTTGAAGTGCTTATATACACATATTTCTGATACAATGAATTGAAGATGGCCATAAGGACTTGTTTTATTTTTAACTGTTGTAAGTATTATTAATATTATTATCACTGTTGTGCAAGGTACTCCTATATTTAAGTAACAGTGAAGCACCTCATGGATACGGAGTCAGATTCAGTAAGATCCAATATCTTTGCTACTACTTAGTAATTCTAATAAAAGACAGTCAAATTTAATAAAGACCGGCAAGGGCAGTGTAGTGTAGTGACTAACATTCGACGAGGCAACAGTATTGTGCTCTTTTCACTTAGCTAGCATGCGTTCACGGTTGATTTAATGAATTTATAAATATTGGAGGGGAGCAGAGCCATGAGTAGTGCTTCAGAGAATCAGAGAGGATTAGTGCCCTAAAAGGAGAATTCAGAGGACTAATACCGCTTGCTGCCTGGAGGCTCAGGAGGAGGATCCAGATACCAAAGCGCCGGCGATGCGAATATTTTTTATATCTACAGAAGAGTTCTGATGATAGTTTGATTGGGGATGGATGGATCGTCCGTTGCCATCTCCTCCCTTTTTATAGCTGCGAACGGGGGCAGCAGCGCTTGCTAGAGGCCGCGTCTCTTTGCCTTGCCCCACATCGAGGTGGGCCCATGCCGTGCACCTCCACGTCGATAGCCTTGAGAAAAGCTGCAGCTGCTGCATCACTTGCTTGGGCTCATGGGTGTGGAGGAACACGACGATTTCCGGCCGGCGAGAAACACGACGGCCGTACGTGTGGGCAGTCCCGCGCGTCCACACGCACATCATAGAGTAGGGTGACACGGCATCAGAGGTCAGTCTCGTCTGTGCCTAGCCATGTGCTGCATGAGTGATTGTTAGCTGAATCATATATGGTGACAGAGAGCAGATTACTGTATGAAGAGTACTCCCTCTAGTCTAGCCGGTAAAAACTCTGTACTAATTGTAGAACTAAGAGAGAGATCAATGTACGTTGTTGGCAAATTTACCTCTATAAAGTGATCGGACGTTCAATTTTCAACGCACCGTACAGTACGGCCTCTGGAGCCAAAACGAGCGGAGAAAAGAGCTTCCACGCGTCCGCACGTACCTACTCCTCTCTCCTACATACAGTATATGTGATCTATTATTGTTGTCTATCAAAAATTGTACCTGTAAACCCTCTCTAGTTATCACTGTGTAAGAAAAGCACATCACATACGCGCGTTCAGACCTATGTAATAAGGCCTATTATAGACGCGCAAAAAACGTGTCTGCAGTAGGAAAATACTACGGACGCGTGTTATGAACATGCGATTGTAACAAAACGAACACGCGTCTGTGACAAAGCCCTTATCAGAGACTAGTGGGTGTCAACGCGCGTCTACAGTAAGCCTTTACGTGCGACGCGTGTTACTAGGACGCATCTATGACAAGATTAAAATGCGCATGTGCCAAGAATCATAGGGCAGACGCATGTTCACTACACGCGTACTACAGACGACATTTATAAACGCATTTGTAGTGAGAACCATAGTGTAGACGTGTGTGCCTCTTTAGCATGGATCCTACTACATACGACATTTATAAACACGTCTGTAGTATTTTTCTTACTACAGACAGGTCTAGGCTACAGACGCGTTTGTAGTAAGAAAAATATTACAGCATCTGTAGCCTAGACCCGTTTGTAGCCCATAGGATATATACACATATATATATACACATCACACATATATATATATATATATATCATATAAATGACATATATATGCACATATCAGAGCTGTTCATCACAAAACTTTGTTCATCACACAGTTGACAGATATGATTGTTCATCACACACAACACAGATCACCAGGTAATATTCACATGTGTCTCCAATTAGATCTCACAGCACCAAACACATGAGCACAGCAGCAGCTAGGATAGATATATATATATATATATATATATATATATATATATATATATATATATATATATATATATATATATATATATATATATATATATACACACACACACACACAGGCGCACTTCACGCAGTGGCTTTGTATTCTTCCAAAGCATCTAATCCAAGTCATCCTAGTACATTTACACAATGAAACTCGTCTTTTTTGTCGATGATCCGCGACACAATAAACAAGGCGATCTTCTCTCTAATATATTCCATGTTGATTGGAGTGGCCAGCACTTCAAATTCCTAAGACAAAGAAAGATAGTCATAAGATGAAGTTACATATGTATATAGCCATCATCCCTAATATGAAGCTGCACAACAAGAGATGACAATATATATATGACAGCAGCAGTATCAAAAATCACTAGTAAATATATATAAGCCAACCATAGTCTACAAAAGGATGATAGCAGATCACAGCAGCAGATTCATCTTGTTGCAGATCACAGCAGCAATACAAAAAGTTGACAGCGGCAGTATATATATATATATATATATATATATATATATATATATATATATACTGCCGCTATCAATTTTTGTAGCTGACCATAGAATAACTTATTATGTGGCCACTTTGATTTACGATAATTACTATTCTAATTTACGAGATTACAGTAACTCCTTACTAAGTGATTTATTAGAACATTATGGTAAATATCACCATGAGTTGTAGTAACACGAGTATCGTAAATGCATATTCATGTTATCGTAAATTGATACAAACATTATCGTAAATCAAGGTGGCTATAGAATAAGTTATTATATGGCTACCTGCAGAATAGCCTTACCATATATATATATATATATATATATATATATATATATATATATATATATATATATATATATATATATATATATATATATATATAAAGAGAGGATCAATGCATTCCAGCAGCAGCAAAATTACTAGTAGATCACAGCAGCTGAGCACTAATAAATACATATATATTTATAGTTGTACCTGAGAATCATCCAAATTGGCCTGTCCCATCGCCAGCATCAAGTTGTGGGCCGCATAGAACCCACATGTATGGTCTAGACCTTGCTGCTGGCACTGAGAACATATGAAATACATGGTTAATAGTTGAATTGAAATACTACTTCACAACTGAAAGTGAAGCACTACTTACTGAAATTTTGGTGGCATGGGTCAACTTCACTTTTTTCTGCCCTTTCTTCGGCCTGGGTTGGAAATTGCCAAAAGCACTGCACATACATGAGTTGTTATCATGTTTTTTGACTTCCAATAACATAATTAAGAAAGAAATACATGGGTCAATAGTAGGTTAGAAAATACTCACTCATCTATCGCAGATTTCAACGCACTCAAATCTGACTTCCCGCCTCTATTGGAGTCGAGGTAAATCACCTTTTTCCACTTTAGAACGATGATAACAACAATTCAGTGCCCACCATAGTTACGCACAAACATCATATAATTTTTCTTGGCATATTTCCTTAGGCAAAATTCTAGATACCCCACTCTATAAGCTCTATTAGCGCTCATAGTCTTTATTGACAGTGGATCTGGATCAAGAAGGCCAACTGGCATAGATGTGGCCCTAGCTTCTATAATCAGGCATCTTGGAATAAAGAAGCATACAAAAGCAATTTAGCAAGTAGATATATGAATAGCATCCCTAGCTAAAAATGAACAAATAGCATCCCTAGGTAAAAATGAACAAGTCCGGAAAATAGATAAAATTGTACTTACAGTGTCAAGCAGCGAAGAAGTCCTACATCCAATCCATCAAGTTTGATGAGGTCAAACAAGTCATCTAATCACACAATGAAAGGCTCAGATTCTGCATCACGCAAAAAAAGCTAGCGCTTGATCATAGCAACCATCCCGGCTTTCCTCTGCTCTTCACATTCTTTCATGTACCTAGCATGAAGAGCAACACACCTAGGTCCTGCCTTCTCAAGCTCTGCTTCTGATAGGAATGACTCCAAATTTGAACTTGGCGTTGGCCTGTGTCCATACAGAACCCTAGGGCCAGTCTTAGATGATTTGGTGGGTTTCTCCACCTGCTGCTTGGCACCCACCTACTGCTCTAGTTTGCTATCACTCTTGGTTGCTCTAGGCTGTGTGGATGG